AACCAGAAGGCTCAGAACAAGGTGCAAGATTGTTCTCTTGGCAGCAGATGATCTCTAGAGAGAAGCAGAGATTTGTTTTTTACAACATTTCCAGGTTTGGAAGCATGAACCAAGTACAGCAGCAGCCTTTTGTATTATCTGAGCAGCTTTTTGTCCTGCAGTTTGCCTTTTTTAAAAAGGTTTTGTGTTTTACTCTTTGCTCCCCTCTTGAATAGAAGCTCCTCACAGGACTCCTAATACTTTAGGTAATCATTTAATCCCCTGCATTGCTGCTTGATATATTGAGGCTAAAATTACATGAGTCATCCTCATGTGGAGCCCATTCTGGTACTCAGCAAGTCAGCAACAGCAGCAAGGCGCTTCCAGGGGAGCAGCCTGCAAGAGATCACATGCAGCAACCTGAAGATGAGCACAGTAACGTCCTGTCAACTCATCACACTGCCCCCATACACCTAGCTGCAAAGCAACAGAGCTCTTGAGAAAGAAAACTGGAGCTTAGAGACTATTAAGTACCATTTATTACAGGGCTTAAGCTGGGATGAGGGTACCTAGGAAGCTCCTGTGTCAAACTTCCAAGGATCCAGGTTAATATTTACTCAGGATAGCTTTCACCATAACTCCAAAGATAAGAATAATCTAAAAAAGCTCAGTTTTGCTACTCTCTGCATCACCTTCATTGAAGAAGGCTTCTCTTTGGATTTTTAGTACCATGTATGGATCTCTGTCCCTAAAGTACAGTTTGTGCATCCTTCTTCCACAAAGTCATCTTCGCACCCTCCAAAAACACAAGCATTCAGCCACTACCAAAATTATACAGGAAACGTGAACAGTTTTCATTCAAATGAGCACAGTGACAGCACAGGATAAACACACCAAAGGCCAGAAACCTTCCCACTAGTCAAGCTATGGAAAAAGTACAGAGATGGAACTCAGTTACAGATACCCAGGGGAAGTTTTCCCTTCCTCTCCATATCAGTATTTCAAAACCTAACCTGTAAGAACTGCTGCAATCCCATCTTACAGGCTCACCCCACAGCAGGCACCTACAAGCCTTGCTCTACTACCCTCCAAAAAATAAACTGCTTGCAGGTGCAAATCACTTGCATAAAGAACACTAACAAGAGCTTAAAAAAAGCACAGGGAAAGCTGCAAAATTTAGGCTTTTTCCTGTCTTTCATCCAAAGGCATCACTGATCAACCAGGAATTCATTTTGTGTTCACACTTGGGTCAAAAAGCCTGGGACTCGAAAGTTGACTTTGCAGTCATTCCCCATAAAACAAGTTAAAGGGGTTCAGAGGCTGAGGGAAAAGCTGAGCGACAACCAAAGTTTACTGAGTTGCTCTACATACGATTAAAAGAATCACTTACTAGACATGTCTGCCTGGTGCAACAGTCCCAGTTATTACTGCTTTTGACACATCCTTTGGAAAAAAACACAAGCTGTTTTATCTTGAAAATGCTATTTATTATTAAAAATCAAGCACCCAGCTAAACCAGAAGCATCAGGCATTTTCCTCAGGCTCTTACATTTGTAGCTCTCCAATGCTCACTTACTCAATTTGCAGGCTAATTACATATGCAGAAGTATGCTGGAAGATTTAGAAGCCATAAATATTCATCTGGGAGAAAACATGTTTTGGTTCTTCAGCTTTTGCAAGAAATCATTCTAGAGACAAAAAATACTCACAACCCTGCACAATAGGGAGCATGTGTGAAAAGCATATCTGCAATCTGTCCTTCTCTCTACTCTTAGATACATGTAAAGGCAACAAACTTATGCTGCCCTTTTATCTCGCAGCATCTCCCTCGTCCCTCAGCAGCTGAAGCGCGCACCAGTCCTTGCCGTTGACAGCACTCAACTTGGATGAGCTCTCCGGGCTGCTTTATCAGCACAAGCAAAAACATGTCATTGCATCTGTTGGAGCAGGGGCTTTCAGAGCTCCCAAACAGTGTTTTGGGCACAGTGACTTCTAGGAGGCCTCATCCATCATGGCATCTGAGCTGTCACATCATCCTGATCCAAAGGAAGGAGACAGATGGATAACACCAAACCAGTTGGACTGGGATCTCAAAGGCCTGCTGAGGGTTTAACATGTGTTTTGGGCAGCAGAAAACAGAAAGTGGGAAAATACAGACTTAGGTGCATTTTGACCCAGTTTATGAGCTACCCATTGCCCTATCCCAGGGGAATCCCACTAATCCCAATGGACTTGTTACTTGGTCCTAGTGGGCTTTTGCCCAGTCATTGCCAATGACATTTCCCTCATTGCTTCATCCATAATTCTCTCCTTCCTGGCCATCCCCCCTGCAGCTTTGGAGGGCATTCACCCTTAGCACTCCACAGAGCAAAGGGGCTATAGGAAAATATGAGTTCACCCTCAGCTGACAGCAGGAAAGCATCTGCAGATGATGCATCCACTGTGCATTGCTGCTAGGTGCAGTAATTCTGACTTTCAGGTATGAAACCTGGTTACTAAAATTGTACTGCAACAGAAGGAGGTCAGGGCCATGTAATATTTACATATCCATTTTTGTTGTCCTCCTTCCTGGAGAAAATAGCCTGCAAAAGCATTCCAGACAAAACTGCTAGTTTTGAGCCTTGTGTCCCATCCACACATGTGCAGGATAGCTGCTAAAAGGGGCTGAACTTATCTTTTATGCTGCACTCCAGGTTCTGTTCTGAAAAAATAAAAACAGCCAGAAATGCATTTCAGATGCTCCCTGGAGCCTACGTCAAGGTAACATGCACAATTCCAGTTTTCTAGGATGCGGCATGAGTGAGTACACAGCAAGCAGCTCACTGGAGTTAGCTTCAATTTTTAGCAACAGTGATAAAGTGCCAACATGAGATTTGCTCCTATGGCCTCACGTCAGCACACTCAGAGCCCTGGCAGAGCACCATGCCATGTCTCCCTTTTTCTCTCCCACATGGGTAGCACAGCAGGACCAGGCAGCTTCCAGATATTAACAAAGAAATTTAACACTTGGAAGCAGGAAACACAGCAAGAAATCTCTGCCATACCCCAAAGCAGTTCCACCCTAACTGGCCTTCACATAACATAGCTGAGCAGAGCAATTCAGAGAAATGAAGTTTTCTGCTTTTCTCCTTTCTATTTAGATAAAGAGACTCAATGCATTTCCTGTGCAAAGGCAGCCCTGAAAAAATCTCCTGAAAGCCATAAGCTGAAGTGCAAAGCTTTCCACTTTCTGCCTCAAGCAAAATCTTGCCTCAACTGCATTTTCTCTGGCACTTCTTCCCTGCACAGGTCCACGGTGCCACCCTTAACACCTGGGATGACCAATAATTCTGTGCAGTGAACCAGCTCTGCAGCAGATTCATAGAGAGCAGGAACCTGAACAGGTCTAAGCTAAGTTGCTTCAGATCTGTATGCAACCCCCAGCACATCACGATAGCTAAAAATGCTAATAAATCCGGGAAGGGCACTACCTTAGCATTTCCATGCTTTGCCCTGCCCCCAAAAATGTCAAGAACCAAGCTGAAGTAGAAGCATTTTAAGTTCTCATGTAACAAATACTATTTTATCTGGATACTGGCAGATTCCAGAAGCCTGAGAAAGTTTAAACCTCAAGTCACTTAAGTGGGGCACATCATAAGCCACAGAACTGTTCTGCTTTTAGCATCTTGTGCCTTGAAACTCACCGAAACACAGCACAAGGGGAGCTTTTTAGAGGCAGAAGAGGTAACACGAGCTCTTTGCTGGAGAGGAGATACACAGTGAGGATCTCAAGGGCGTCCTCCCACTTTAGTGGGGGCTGCTCCAAACCTGGACTCATCCCCATCTGACTTATTTAAGCTAGAAACCTACCTTCACAGCCCAGCAATCCCACATTCCCACAATAAGAGCAGTGGGCTGAAGTGCCCCTCAGCCAAGGGTCTCCACCCAGCAGAAAGCCTAAATTCAGCTAAGATCATTGCTCTTAAGTGGACAGCTGGGGATTAGTAACTAGCTGCAAGTTCCTGGAGCAGGTTGGAAAGGGGCAGGCAGGGGGAAGGAAAGCCTCACCTGAGAAATAGTCAGCACAGGCGTTGCAAGATTGCGGCGTGTGGAGAATTATCGGCTGACACCACGTTTGGGACATTGCTGAGGGATTGGAAAGAGACAGACTGCACAGACTGATCAGGGCTCATGCACATACCCAGGGACAAGACACGAGAGCGCGGAGCACCGCGAGGCTCAACACGCACCCCGACACCCCAAACAAGCACGTACAAGAGCAAATTTTCAGTTTTAAAATAAAAGCAAAATAGGATTTTCAACTAGGTTTCTTGAAGGAGATGGAATGGAGGAAGCAAGCAGGGCAAAGACATTTCATTTCTTGCCAGGTTGCTCCTAAGCAGGTATCAGGCACTCAAAACCAAGAGGGGAGAGTCCCCTGAAGCAAATCCAAGGTGAGGAGCCTAGCACAGCCTTGCATAAAGGCTAACTGCCTCCCTCCCCCCTCCTCTGCTCACTTAAACAACATTGCTTTGAAAACACCCTAATAAGGAAACTCGGACGGAGTCCACCCTCCCCACACACACAACACAATTGGTGTATCCACTTTCCATTAGAGTATAGGAAGCCCGAAGAGCCCAGCAGCCCCCACTGACATCAAACTGCTAAAATAGGAGTTATCAGATGGAACGCGTGGGTCAGCATTGTGCCGCGAGACATAAAAAGGACCTCGGCATTAATGCAAGGAAATGTGACTATTGTGTGCAGAGTGATACCCATTCAGGCCCAGACCACTTGTCTCTGGACACTACTCTCCCTGGAATATCCTTGGCGCCAGCATCAAGCATTTCTCCTTGTCCCCTTAAGAAAAAAACACACTAAAGAAGTTATCTCCGCAGCGGTGGGAGCCACGTTTTGCTAGCAGCAGCGGTGGGCCAGCACATGCGCGTCTCGGGAGTGGACAGGCAGGAAATCGTCAATTCTCCGGCTCTAGCCATGGTCAATTGTCCAGAGGGGGGAACAGGCTTTAATTTCTCCTGAAGCTGAAGGTGCATTCCATTATTTTTCACCCCCTGCTCCTCCAACAAAGCCACATCCTGCCTGCCGATGAGGTTTTTGCTAGTGATCAGGATTCTTCCTCCTCTTCCCCCAAAAAACTCACACTCCTTTGGGCACCCTTTGACAGCTAAAGGCACCAATATGAGCACTGGCTGCAATTGGCAGCATAGGCTGCAAGAGGTTTAGTGGCTACAAGCACTAAAGCCAGACTTTAAGAAAAACTCTGCCAACTCCTCTCCTGCAACCTGGGAAGCAGGATTTTTAAACCTCTCCAAGCCATGAAAATGTTTCCAAAACCTGCCCAATCTTTCCCAGATGGGGCAACTGATCCCATGCCACAAAGCATCCAGCTTCTAGAAAAAGCACACTTTTTGGGGGGAGCTATCAACTCTTGCTGAAGATTGACTTCTCCCCACCTAAACCTAATCTATAGAGCTCAGAGGCAGAAGAAAAGTCAGCTTTTTTTTTTTTATCAGCTACCACAAGGAAGCAATAAATACCTAGTACAAAAGATCCAGGCGTCAAAACTAAGAAGCATTTTAGTATCTGGGCATCTACACTTAATCTAAGAGCAGCCCGTGATAATTAAAAACAAGACAGGCCTTACATTAAAAGGCAATAACTTCAAGAAACTGCAAGGTTTACATACACCTGTACACACAGCCCAACACTTCATGACAATGGCTAATTATCAGAGCATTATGGGCCATGCTATATTATGTTGGCTCAACAGTTCATCCCACACAGAGCTCTTTAAAAAGAGAAAAAACAGCAAAGTGCATCTAATTATGCTTGTAGTGAGCTGCACATCCATCATATGGAGATTAACAGCTCGACAAGCTGATAGCAGAGCTGTCATCAAGTGTGTAATTCCACTTATGTTGCTTGCCAGCACCCATACCCTGCACTACCACCTCTTCACCCTCCCCAGGAGCATTCACTAGCCCTATACCTGACAGTGGGCAACACCCTCACAGCAGCTTTCCAGAGGTGGCCTCTTGCAGAAAACAATTTAGCCCACAGAGTAAAGAACAAGGATGGAGACCAGAAGGGGCAGCTCCAACATCTCATAGCAGCTATTTTTTTCTTGTTTCAAGCTACCTTTTATTCTTTCCTGATGGAGACTGAGCAGTTGTGTTTTAAGCATCCAAGACCAGTGGTCAACCCCTCTCCAAACGGGCAGCAATCCAACCCCAAGCTGTTTTGTGAAGCATTGCATGACAAGAGGGTGATATTCCCTACGGAGTCATTTGGCACAAGGAGGCTTTTCAGCTCATAGCCTTCACCCAACTCAGAAAGCAAAAAAAAAGGAGATGGGGAACAGAAAGATAGCATTCCCGTATTTGTTTTTCACTGTTTAAACAGTACCAGAGCCTGATGCTGTCGATTCTTGGGCACTAGCTTCCCTGAGAACTCAAGTAATCTGTTTTTTTGTAGGTATTGTTTGCCTGGCCAGAGCAGTATTTTTGTCCCCAGGACTGTGGATAACACTGCAAGTGCTCAGCTAGAAACCCAAAGCAACACCCAGAGCAGCAGTGCAAGGGCATCTCTGAAAGCTGTCTCCTTGCATCCCCCCACATGAGAAGCATCCCTAGAAGCACCTACATGTATCTCAGTCAAAGAATTTAAGCCTCATTTCTGGGAAGAGCTTAGATTATAAAGAAGGGTTTTTGTTTTTATTCTCCAAGTCATTCCAGTAGTTTGTGTTAATTGTATAAGCAGAAGAGCTGAAGTTGGCTTGCCAAGAGAATCAGCTATGATTCCTTTACATCCAGAGACTGGTTTGGCACATTAAAGTCAACTCTGGAAGATAGTTCAGCCAAGCTACTTGGAGAAAGCGCCAAAAGCCTAGAGCACTCCAGCACATGAAGTTTGGAGAATCCCATGCATAATTCTCGCATAAACACAGAGTTTCGGCTACCCGGGCCACTTTGATGCTGCTTATAGCAGGTAAAAGAGGTAGACAAGGCCTTACTTCATACCTGTCCTCCTAAAAAGTCTGGACTCTAGATTCTTGTAACCTACATCCCTGTGTTTGGAAAGGGACTTCAGCACTTCAGAAGTCCTTTTTTCCTTAGGCATCTCGAATACCTCAGCTAAAGAAAAAGGATACAACTAATACCAGCAAACATCACTGCTTGAGGGAAAGAAGGAAGCTTTGTCCGATCTTGAATAGAAGGGAAAACATTCATAACAAACCCAAGAGGACACAAGAAAAGATAGTTTCCTCAAACACAGAGCAATCTGCAGCACTTGCATTCCTCATCCCAAACAATGCACCCCACGGCATTAAGCCCAGACTTGTCATAGTACAGTTGCCCTTAAGTCTTTCAATTGAGATGGAATTTGTAAAACTACATGCTTTAAAAAGCACTAGATATGATTCCTAATTTAAAGTCTCTATTCACATTCAGAAAGTAGCCTTCAAGGTAGTCAAGCACAAGTCTGACATGCCTATTTTACATTGCTGTTTCCAAAAACTGCTTGTTATAGATTAATCAGGATCTGCTTACAATCTAAAAACAACTTCTCTTAAACTTTAAGGCCTCTCCAATATTGTCATGCTAAGTACAATTCAGAGCCCTTAGCCTCTAATCTTCAGAAAAAGAGTCTATGTAGGCAGACTTCAGACTGCCTGCAGCAACTGGGATAAAGCCAAGGCTTCTGGCTTGTCCCGAAGGCCACATTTTCCTAGGCACATACAATTAACACCAGGTTTTTTTAGCCTGACTCCTTTACTATTTAGCATGGGCCTTGCAAAGCATGTTAAAGCCATAGACTGAGTCCAACACAGCTGTGGGATTTTATTCCTCAACAGCAACCATTTTAAGACACCTTCACAATTCACCATAAACTAGTCTGCTCAGAGGTTCTCTCCAGCTTATACCCTACATTGGGCAAAGTTAAAGGATGCTGACCTTGCAGGGTGGATGTGACAAGCACACATTTATACAGGTATGTCCACTTGCAACAAGTGTGCAACAATTTTATTCACAGCCTCCTCTACCTGAGATGACCACAGCATTGGGACATGCAGGATGGGACTAGGCAGTGCAACAGACCTCCCCAAATTCTTCAAAAAAAAGCTCTCCCTCACTCAAAATACTTGGCACATGCAAGCCAAGGAACTGTGTGGTGCTGACAGCACAGATTGCCAAGTATGCAAATCTCAGTTCATTTAGCTGCTCTGCTATCCCATCTCACAGCTCTGCATGCAACACCCCAAGCAGGAAATTCTGTCCTCAAAGTCCTCTTCCACCACATGGAAAGCCTGCCTCATTGCAGATATCCATATTACCTATGCCTGTTGGCACATAGTTTGGTACTTGGGCCCTCAGTATGGAGCAGGCAACTTGATATTTGTAAACAGAGCATAATGCAACAGCATATTGCTCATGTACCGAAATTTTCCATAGGATGGTTGAGGTTGGAAGGGACCTCTGGAGACCACCCAGTCCAACCCTGATGTCCAGCTGTCCAACACTAGATGTCCCCCACAAACACTAAGTGCACTTCCATTGCTAAACTGTCATCTTGCAGGAAAGCAGCCTTCCAGAAAGCACCAAAAACCACAGGACTCTACCCAAAACATCTTGTTCTGCAGACTGCACCTCCCTGATAAGTTGGGATATGGAGCAACTTCGACAAAACCCACCACAGGCTGCAGAAACAGCATCACACAAACCAAGGTGGGTCATCAGTTTGTGTTCAAGACAACTGACCTCAGCCAGACCAGTTCTTTCTTCATTTTTGATATCTAAGTACATTGGTAACAATAGCAGACTACTAAATATGAGAAACAGACACAGCTTCAAAACATCCAACACTAGCTTCACCTATTTGTTCACTATTCCTCCCCACCACCACTTGCTTTCTTTTCCAGCTGCTGAAGAGCAGCACCCAACTAGGATAAACCCATGGGCCTGACTCAGTTCTATTGTTTCCAAATGAAATTTAAAGGGCAGTTAAAAACACTCCTGAAAACCCCTGTTTTCCCAGGCCCCCCAAAAAGCAGTTGAATAAGAGCTAAGGAGGCCCTCCCACACACACCGCTCAGCAAATCACCAATTTCGCTACTAAAACGGCTGTCGGGGCCCACAGCAGCGGGGATGGTGGTGGTGGCAGCCAGTAGGCCCTGAAGGTGCTACCAGGCCCCTCCCCTCCGGCCTGTCTCCAGCCTCGCAGCAACCTGTGGGTTTCCAGCAGGACCTCTGCCTTACACACCGATTTTCCCCTTCATTGATGAAAACAGGGAAGATTAAAGAGAAAGAGAGCCAAGAGGCTTCACACAGGTGGCCAGAAGTCAGCTCTAGAGCCGTTTCAATCACGTTTTCCCTGAAACCCAAAAACTCTTAAGAGGGTGCAGTTGGAGGTGTGGGCTTCTCTGAAAAACTTGCATTTTATTTATTTTTTTAAAATATATTTAAATCCCTCCTGCCCTGTGGCCAGGTCCCCACTCACCAGCAATGTTGGGGGGCACCTCCAAATTGACATTGACGAAGAAGCGGATGCTGTCTCCCGAGACTATGGAGGAGTTCACCGTGTCGAAGAGCTCCTCGCCACCCGCCTCCTCCTTGGCCTCGCAGCCATCGTCTGTGTCACACTTGAGGTACCCTGCAGGCGAGAAGATGGTAAAGAAGCTGTTGATGGTCACTGCCACCCACATCTGAAGATTGGGGTGGGTGACATAACACCAAGTGCCACCACCATGCCAGAAGAGTGGCCCATGGTGGCCAATGTCAGCCTCACTCTTGGGTGAGGGCTCCAGTGTGGGAGGCTCCAGGAGCTCGATGGCCCGGAGTCTGCCCATCAAGCACAAGACTTTTTAAAGGTTTCATTCTGGGTGGAAACAGTTTAGGATGTTAGGTCTCAACTCAGGAAGCAGAGACACACTCTCCTTTATTTTTTTGAGTGTTTTCAGAAGTGTGGCAGACACGGAGCTCCTGACACTGCAGCCACTCCACCAAGGCCAGGTCACAGCTTGCAGATCCATATAGGGCAGGCTCCTCTAAGGCCAAAAACTCTGCATGAAGACCATGATGAAGGCAGAGCTGCCTCTTGGCCTCAGCCCACCCACTTCCCCTCAAACTCAACCTTTTTGCCATCTCCAGTTACTAGCACTACAGTCATTCTCCACACAACTTCACAACTCAAAACTGAGAAAAAAGGTTTCCAGGGAGACACCTGGTACAGACAGACTTGACGCTTCCCACAAAGCTGAGGAACAGGTCAGAGGAGGCAGGGACATAAAGATAAACAAATTTCCCAATTAAAATTGGCAATTCTTCATCCTTTGGCAAGACGTAAGATTACAGCTTAACCTAGCCTGTTTTCCCCAACAGCAAACTAGCACCTCGCAGTATTTTATTCCAGAGCTAGAGGACTCCTGTGTTCATGCATCATGTTTAATTAGAAGAATTAGAAACACTATAGAACAGCCATTTTTACATTACTAGAATTATTCAGCAGCTTCTACCCATTTTCCTGACAAGTCTTTTATGCCTAATTTGAAGCAGGAGGGATATATTTTATTAGTTTGCTTTAGGCACTATAGCAAAATGAAAAGCATGAGCTCCAAGGCAGACTTGAATGGAAACTCTAAAATATTGATGGCATTTATTTTTTCTTTTAAGCATCATAAAAGGAAATGCAGATGCAACAGCACCAAGAGCAGCAGTTAAAGCACCACGTTCTTGAAGAAATATCAAGCTGGTTGCTTGACACTGCAAAAACAAGCCCTGAACAGAGAGACCACAAACAGGAACTTGATGAACCAGGACACAGACTGCAGCACTTCCTGCTGCAAGCTCCATCCTGACATTTGTACTTGTCCCCACATGCAGACTAATAACACACACTTGGCATCTATTTCCCAAGGATAGCCCTAGCCTGTCCCAGGATCCAGGACACCCAAACCTTTAAGTGATTTCTGCTCAACAGTGCTTATCTAAAGCACAAGCAACAACTGTTTCCCCTTCCCTACCACTACCTGCCAAGCAGCCAGCAAAACACACAGAACATCCTACCCTTTACCACGGATGGAGTTTAAGACAGCTTTTATATCTCTGTAAGGCAGAAATTGGGCTAAAGCACTTAACATAAGTAGAGTGATGACAGCATGAGAATGAATTAGAAACACCTCAACATAGGTATGGTGCCACTACGGGCACCACACTGGGAGGTCTTTCCTCTGTAGAAGGCAGTCACTTGAGGACCAAATCTGTTTCCAGTTATCCCTGCCACCCTTGGGGAAGCCATGTATGATCAATATATAAAAAATATGTTTGGAAGAGGTGACAGTAGCAATTTAACAAAGAAAACTGATCATTAACCTGCTGGCTCTGTCAAAACTCTCCCTCAAAGACAACTCAGCTCATCTATGATCATGGTGGCTAGATGCATTCCTCATCTCTAACCCCAACCAGCCTGACTGGTACTTTCTAACTTGGATGACTGATTTCCCCCATCTGTAGACAGCACCAGTAGCCCCTGCAAATATTAGGGCTGTCAGCAAATCTAGGTATTAGTTGAGCTTCCCTATGCACAACAGTGAACCAGGCCTCAGTGATTCACAGTAGTGCCCAGGGGCAGACAGGGATGCCCACCACTGCCTGACCTTTCAAATCTTGGAGTCACCATCCTGGTTATGCCCAAGTAAGCTGTCACAACAAGTCTGTACAGCTCCCTTCTCCTTAGCAGGTCATACCAAAGGCACACAGGGGCTGAGGCAGTTCAAGCACACAATACCACTTTATCCCAGCTGCAGGGCTGGCAGCTGAGTTTTTCCAGCATCCTGATGCAATTAAGACACAAATGAGCAAGAGAACCTATGAGAAGGTTATCCATTTGCTTTCCAAGCCTTCCACAACTGGCTTAAGGAAGAAGTGGCAGCAGCAGGTCCTGAAAGCAGAGTTGGAGACGGGAAGAAACAGTGCAGGAGCTGGAAGGGCAAGGGTGGAGTAAGATCACAGGGTTGGGCAGAGGTCACCGAGGACTCTGGCAAGGGAAGCATCCTCAGTTCCTCCCTCTTTAGGGGAGGAAAGAGCAGAACAAAAGGCAGCCGAGCAGCATGTCCCTTGGGCAAGGGATGAACAAAACACTTGCATTGCAAATAATCCTGAATCTGGGCTGTACAGGAACTGAGCTTCCAGGCAGGTGTCTGCTTTGTCACTAACCTTAAACTTGGAGCCACTCCTACTTTGAGCCCTTCAGCCAGTGACTTTACTAGAGATTTTAACATAGCAGTGATTTGCTCCTGTCAAGGGTAGATATCAAGAAGATAAAAAAACTACTTACCTGTCTTCTGGATGCAGACATTTTCCCTTCCCTCTGAATAGGACTCAACAGCCACCCCCAACTCTGGGGGTTTTCCCACCACCCTGAGGGATAACCCAGGGCCACCCTCTGCCCATGCTGCTTGACTACTGCAGATGCTATGGGCAACAGCAGAATAGGTTCACATCTCCTAGGGGGGCAGGTGCTGATCTGCCTTTTAAAGCAGTTTGGAGCAGGGGCTGATGCAGACATGGCATAATTTGGCCTCCTTCAGATGTTTGTAATTGTGAACTGATAAATATTGATCAGGTTTCCACATGGAGTAGCAGCTTGGCAACATTTCTTAGCCTGTGCTGTGAGCAGTTCCTGAGGGGTACAAGTCACACCTTTGCATATTGCCCAAAACTGGCTGAAAGATTCTACTATGAAATTTTTATCCATGACCACTATGCGCATCACTGGGTTGTCTTCACTCAAAACCAACATTCACCAAAGTGCTATGAGATACTACACAGTAGTGAGTCAAATCTGAGTAGTGAGTCAAATTTCAGCCTGTAAAATAGTCATTTTGCCTATACAAAATAATTTCTGCTAAGCAGAAGTACCAGATAGTGGCTTTTTTCACTGGGGAGCCCTCAAGTCACATGCACACTTTGCTTGACACTAAACTTCAAATGGCAGCAAGTCTTTTATGGCCATAGACCAAGTACATGGTGTGAGCCAGCCTGCAGCATTAACCCATCAGTGGGGTGCTAGCCTGGAAGAAATAGTTTCCCCATAGCCAGGAGGAGATGGAAGGAGAAAGGCTTAGTCTGTATACATATATGCAACTTATATCTAGAGAGAAGCAACAGCGCAACCTCACAAGAGGTAAAACACTGGATTGCAAGAAGCTGCTGGAGTTGGAACTAAGTTAAAGCTGGCTGAAACAGACACAGCCCTCTTGCACATTGAGGATCTGATGCTGGGATCAGAAGGATCTGCTTGGCACCTTTGTGTGCAAGGGCAGAAAGTCAAAGACTGTAGCTGCTGACAAACCCAAACACCCTCCTTCAGTGCTGCAGCTGAAGAGCAGCAGGGAAATACAAAAGCCACTCTTTACATATGGTCAAAGCATCTGTACTTTCAGCTGCCTATGGTCTTGCACCTCAGCTCACCATCTGTGATATTAAAATAAGCCCCACTCATTTTACAGGGTGCAGAGAAATGGATGCATTTCCTTCTCCAAAGCTGAGCACTAAGCACTTGCAGTAATTCCTCAGCCATTGATTCATCCTCCAAGTTGACTATTAATTCATCCTCCAAGTTGAAATCACACTGAAGGATAAACTATATAGTTAAAGTGCTTCAACATAATGGCAACAAGCCTCAAACCTCAAGACTTTTCCCTCAAGCTTTAGAGGACTGAACCTTCTTGTCCTCATCACCACATTTCACAGGAGCAGCACAGCAGAGCTGTTCATTTCACATGTGCCATCTGGGCTCATGCAAGGACCCTATTGAAGATACAAGTCCCCTGGTGTACCCTGCCTATGTTTGGGGCCAGTTGGAACTGCACCTTTTGCAGTTCATGCCTAGTCTGGGTTTATCTTGTCCTCCTCATCTTGCCATTATTCGAAATCAACTCCAGCTTCTCAAATCTGCTTTACCCTCTCCTCTCACTGCATCCTCCAGCCCTGTGACTAACCTTCTCCCTATCTGCACAGGCTGTTTCCCTGCAGCTCTTTTGCTTCTGAGCTGTGTTTTAACCATTTCTGATGGGAAAAGCAGCAAGTGAGCTGCAGCAGTTGAAGGTGACACCACCTCTCCCAGCTGTTTGAGCAGTACCTGGCAGCTAAAGCAATAAAAGTCAGCAGAGCAATGGTTACAAGAAAGAATCACTTCAAGGCTCACCACGTTCTCCAGAAATGCTTAATTGCTCTGTGGGAGCAGCACTCTCAGCCCAGGGGCTGCAGACTTCTCCAAGGAAGCAGAGATCTTCAGCCGTCAAGCTCAGCCGCCCAGGGGACCTGAAGCTATACTCCTGATGAGGACCTTTCTCAGTTTTTAATAAGTCTTTTCCTCAAACTTTTGTGCCACACCATAGCCAGGAAGGCTAGTTAGGCTTTTGCATGTTTTTTCAGAACCTTTTTCTGAGAATACTATTTTGGCTGAAGGAATAGCTCACAGAGTGGTTAAGCATACTAAACCCTCCTCCGAAGTGATTAGCCTAGCAGAAGTCAGCAGCTGAGGAAAAGACGACAAAAACCCCTCAGCTATCAGGAATCCCAAGACCTGCTCCTCTTGTCCCTCTGCCCACCCAGCACAGCATGACAAGTCAGCAAATCAGGGGTGTTTTCTGAAAGGATATAAATGAAGTGCCCCATACCTTGGCCATCATGGTTTCAAAATGCAGTGCCAAGTAACTTCACTTTGCTGACCCAAGCCTGAGACATTTGGGCTGAGAGACCATTTGTAATGCAGCATCCTCTCATGTCTCAGGTTATGAGACTGGCATAACACTTTGCTGTGCCTTATAGGAGGCACAAAGCCAAG